ATACATTCAACGAGCGATGGGTACTGTACTCTGCTACAGCATGGAGGTGGAATATCTCATCAGCCGACAGCTGTCCCCTCCCGAAAGGTTCAGCCGAGTCGGGGCAGGTGCGCTGCCTTCAGATATGGCAGGATCCTCCTTGTGGGTGGCTATACTGATAGCGTCACTAATCCTACTGATCGATGTGACATGTGAGTCTGAGGTTAGAGTGGTTTCTCGATGTTTACCACAATTTGCAAGATACAATCCCGAGACGGGTATGTGGTCGCCTGCAGCGCCCTTGTCTGTTGGTCGTTTCGGCCTCGGTGTGGCTACTGTTGCTAATGGATTTGTGTAAGTCCGATTGTACTCCTCATTCGGAGAATGTCTACGTAGATACGCGGTTGGAGGGAATACTGGTCTTCACGGACCGACATCTCTAGTAGAGTATTATGATCCTGAAGAGGATGCATGGTTCCCAGCACCGCCACATCATCAACTCCCTTACCCCACGGCAGGAGGTCGCCTCGTCTCCTCTCATGGAGGAGTCATGTACGCGGAGAATTGCTCGGGTTACTTCATGTTCCACTTCGGTGTCAGGTTGCACGTTGTCGGTGGCTGCAGTGACACCTTTACAGCGTCGGAGAACATCCTCACTGTTGATATTTCTAACGACTTTACGAATCTGGAGAACTTCCGCAGTAAAAAACAGTATTGTTTTTTGCTCTAACTTCGATGCTTGATCAGGTTCTAACACGAATCTTCCGGATGAAGTCGGCCGGTGGACTGTTACTCACAAACTGAGTACTCGGCGGGCTGCGGCAGCTGTCTGTGTTGACGAGAATGATAATCTGTAACACGGTCTTGCTACGTCCCCAGGCAGCTATTTAGTCTTCGCCAGGATCGTCTCCGGTGGATTTACTGAGCCCGGCAGCCCCGAGCGTGAACTCTCTAGTGTTGAAGTTGTAGACCTGAAAGACTGCGGTGCTCGAGCGCGCGTGATCGGAGACATGTCCTACAAGCGAGGAGGCTGTATGCATTTGGATTCGTATCGATTCGTTGGCTCATGTTCTGTTCTAGGTGTCTCCGTTCAAGTCCCAAGCGTCGGTTCTGTAGTGATCGGTGGTGAAAGTACCTTGCAAGGGTCGTCCAGCGGAGTGCCTCCATCTCCTGATCTTTTTGTCAATCACGAGGAAGAGGATTTGTGCCGCATGGGTAGTCCTCCTCGGCCACCGTCACCGCGGAATCATTCGAGATTCATGTCACAGGTGAGTTTTCTGCTCCCTCTCCTACAGGATTGCTCCTTCAGCATGAACCATTCACACCTTTGCCGAATCGATCGAGAGTTCGAAATGATAATCCAGATGAGACTGCTTCACCAGTGGTACTTCCTACATCTGAGGTATGCTCCACACGCCTCACTGTTCATGCTGATGAGTCTGATCAGGTTGTCGGAGTTGGCAAGTGGTCTCTTCTGCCCTTGATGCCCGAGGAGCGCACCGCAGCCGCTGTCGCTGTCGTTTGGAAGATTCCGAGTGGCTTCTTCTACAAACCGTTGGTTGATTTACTCGCTGTATAATTCGTGGTACATCTACAAGCTGAGCGAAGTAACCTGCTGGTCTCGCTCGTGTATCCACCAAGCTGAATGCATGATAGACAGTGATAATTTTCACTGAAACTCTCAGTAGTTTGGTTGTTTAAAGTAACAGCTTATGAGAATTGTGGCAATACGGGCATACGGAAAGTAACCGAGATTCATTTGGCTCTATTTTTCTGAGAGTTCTGCTCCGTTTGCTAACACTCGTACATTGAGCTGAGAACATTTTGTGCCTGTAACGTTTCATCAACGTTTCATCAACGTTTCGTAACATTGGCCAGATTCTGACATCTTCGGGAGATTGAAAATCATGTCTACGTACTCCAAAACCGTGGCCAATTCCCTCAACCTACTGCTCGCTGGATTGGAGCTGGAACAAATATAAGGCGGATAATTCTTGCCATATCATCGAACGAATCTATGTACCAGGTTGTGCGATTATCATCATCACTCCGTACGAGGTCACGAGGATATATTTGTAAGCCCAGATAGCTCAGTTGGGAGAGCGCCAGACTGAAGATCTGGAGGTCCTCAGTTCGATCCTGGGTCTGGGCATTTATTTAACAAAGGCTTTGTAGTCTTCTGGGATAGCGATGGTCAAGCTTTCTTCGATCGATAGTCCCACAGGACTCAGTTCCTAACTTGGCGTGCTCATACTGGGGGAGGGAGTCCCTCCGAGGGACTTGGAACTTCTTTTAGAAAAGAACAAATCTGGGAAAGGTCATTGTGTGGAAGGGACATGGATGACGGAGGATTCGTGGGAAAATGTATGGAAGATAAGATCAACTCCGTCATGTGTTGCAAAGGAAGCACTGTCAAGTCGCTATCGTCTAGTGGTTAGGACGTCACGTTGTGGCCGTGACAACTCCGGTTCAAATCCGGGCAGCGACTTTTTTCGCCAACGCGCGCACCACCGTCTTTTCTTCTCTTCGCTTGTCTGTCCCCTATTACCCCTTCCTCCCGCACTCCAAACCTCTCTTAGCCTGGGTGTCGGATACCCCGGGGTGATATTGCCATACTCACACACGGTGTCAGAGATTTTCCCAGTAACCTTCGAGGTTTTGATCCTGGACTGGAAAGCGTCGAAGGATATCTTGTTCTTGAGAACCTTTTCCGCCATGACGAGGGTACTATTCCATCTCGTAGGCGTGTCGATCATGTAGTTCATGTTAGGTCTGCCATCTCCAGGGAGCTCCGCTCTGACATCTTCCATTATTCTCGCCGCCGTGCCAGAGATCCTAAGCATTGTCAACAGCTTCCTGCACTTGGTTAAGACATCGTGGACCACCATCTGGTTACAAAGAAGATTTTTGCGGACTAAGTCGTCGAGCCAAGCTGCATCATCTTCTGGTGACCACTAGTCGTCCGCTTTACTGCCCTCTCCATCCTGGTCACTATGGACAGCATCACATAGGTAGTCGTTTTCATCCTTCTCGGTGTTGTCATCCTGGAACAGGATTCCTGGTTGCCATCTTGGTTGTCTGGGGGAAGCTTCTCTTCATCGATTATACCAACGAATAGTTTGAGAGCATTCGAGACAGCCAAGTGGAGTCGATGGCCGGCGCAGGGTAGCCAGCAGACCATGTTCTCGAGACGGAACCGTTTGTCGAGGTCTAGCTCGGTGTCATTAACATCCGCCTTATCCTTGTCTTCAGCCTTCCTGCTGCCGCGTGAGAGTTTTGTGCCAGCTTGACGTACATCTGACCCCGAGTCGGTCACAACTAAGGCTACCTGAAACGATATCAAATATGCTTATGATGGTTGTGGTTATCTTGCTTCATCTACTATCTCCATTCTCGACAATGTTTTGTGGATGATCTCAGCCCGGTTAACTGCAGTGTGCTCTTCGGTGATCTCCTGGAGGCCAATTATCGTCGACTTCATAACCGTCTTAGGCTGCTCTCGGTCTTCTGGGTCACTGATTCCTGGCAACTTGCCAGGAATCAGCGGTGATTGAGACAACGTCTGTTTTTGCAGAGTAGCTTTGGCATTCCCTATGCGATCCTGAGGTTGACCATCGAATAGTCTGAACATGGGCAATCTAGTCTCAGGTTAGTAACCTGGTTCATGACTTGGTGTTATCTTACCTCCCGATTTGTCTTCGGCTGGGTATTTTGTACTGCTTTCCTCCCCTGGTTTGAGTCAAGTAATCTATCAGGGCCATAAATCCTTGCCTGTCTACGGTAAGTTAATGGTAGTCTGTCGAGGACAATCTATGAATCATCTTACTGAACTGCTGTTATACGAGATCCCTCACCATCTGAACTATCAAGTCGGCTATTCTCCCGAAGTCACCTTCGGTCAGGAACTTCTGCACGGAGGTCGGCTTCTCTGCTCCATCTTTGCTGTCTGGCTGCGTAGCCTTCTTATAGCAAGGGTGAGTCTTAAGAGAGCTGTACGCTCTGTTGAGCGAGAGCTTCTTTTTTCATTTGAGACATATGTCATTCTTGCTGTCATTTTCCTCCCTGAAATGAGTAGTGAACTTATCGAAACCATCTCCACCGTGCTCAATGTGTGTATCTAATAGTCATATTTGGAAGCACAGTGTTGGGTCTTACTCTTTTGAGCTTTTGCCTTCGGCCTCGAGTGCACTGTATTTGGCGAGTCTCCTCCAGCTGATATTGGTTGCGCTTGACAACGCTTTGCAACAATAGTTTCCCGGACTAATTCTTTCTTTCGGTTCATGTTTTGAGTTTCCAAGAGTCCTGGAGGGAGAGGGGGAATTGCACCTGTTTCAGGACTCGTAAGAAACTCATGATTATCAGCAAGTCCGCATCTGGGAAGTCTCACTCCGATCATAGATCAGGAGATTCTTCACTAACAACCCTTGTGAGACCGCGCCTATCAGTGCAGTAGCTACTGACGGCAACGAGCTGATGGCTTAGGTAGCTCGACTACGCCGCCTGTTTTAGAGAGCCCTACCAGCCTCCCCTGTACGGAGGTTAAGAAGTAAATGGGGATAGACCGTCCGTACAGAGAGTACATTTATAGAATATAGTCGATAGAGTATTCGAATCCTTCGATTCAAGCTGCACGCACTCGCCACGAACTTGCCACTCTCATAATGTCCACAAGGCCAGGGGTCCACTATTTGCATTCAGCCAATGAGTCCGAACCTAAAGGTTCCAGTAAAATCGTAACCTCAATTTCAGGGTATTTGACACCAGAATAGCGTAACACGAACATCAGTGGCGGATCGACAGCATTGAGGAAAGCGCTTCATCACTCCCTCATAGCATTGATAATCTATCCGTATATTGAGCCCTTTCGCATCAAGATATCCATCCTGTCTGTTAGAATATGACTCGGTCGATCATTACAATGCAACCACTGAAACTCAAAATCACATAACCATATCTTCAAGCTCTTCTCAGTTAGGGGAGCGCATACGAAAACATTGTATCACTTAACAAGCCAGAATAATCAACGATTTCGAGTAACTATAATAGATAGTCTCTATATGAGACAATAATAACCGGGCCCGCACTCGGAGAAACTGAGTAACGGTTATGCCCGCCATCAGAGAACACTTCGAAGCAGAAAACTCTGACGGAGAGAAGAAAAGCTTGTCAATCAACGCCAAGATATTTGCACACTACTCAGTGACATCATCGACAGGAACGTTCCTGGGCAGTTCAAGGTCATCCCAGATGTTGTCCAAAGCAGAAGTGAGCATGTCGAGATCTTCTTCAGAGTGCAGTGGTAGAGGAGTGATTCTAACACGTTCAGTGCCTCTAGGCACAGTAGGGTAGTTGATAGGCTGTAGATATATGTTGTACTCGTCCAAAAGCTTGTCGGTAACTTGCTTAACCTTCACCGGATCTCTGACCAGCACCGGCACGATGTGACTAGTGCTGTTCATCACAGGAAGCCCCTTAGAGCGTAGCTTAGCCTTCAACTGCTTAGCACGTAATTGTTGCATCTCTCTCTCGGCACCCGACTGGCGAAGATAACGAACTGATGCAAGAGCACCAGCGGCGACTACAGGGGGGATGGCAGTAGTGAAGATGAAACCAGCAGCATAGGAGCGAACACAATCAATGAAATTCTTCGAAGCTGCAACATAACCACCAAAGACGCCATAGGCCTTTCCAAGGGTTCCAGAAATGACATCAATACGGTCAGCGACGCCATCACGTTCAGCAACACCCGCACCGTGCTCGCCGTACATACCAACAGCATGAACCTCGTCACAGAAAGTGAGCGCATTGTACTTTTCCGCGAGATCGCAGATTTTCTCCAGAGGAGCGATAGAGCCGGCCATGGAATACACAGACTCGAAAATGATCATCTTCGGTCTCTCGAGGGGATACGACTTCAAGATGGCCTCCAACTGCTCGAGATTGTTGTTCTTGAATATAGTCTTCTCACAACCAGAATGACGTATACCTTCGATCATAGAGGAGTGGTTGCCCGAATCGGATATCATAATGCAATCAGGCATGATTTTGCCCACGGCTGAGAGAGCAGCCTCGTTGGCTACATAACCGCTAGAGAACACCAAAGCCGACTCCTTCTCGTGATTCAAAGCCAATTCGTGCTCCAACTCGACGTGGTACTTAGTCGTGCCAGAGATGTTTCTGGTGCCACCAGCACCAGTACCGCTCGTGTCAATAGCCTCGTGACAAGCCTGCAACACCACAGGGTTTTGACCCATACCAAGATAGTCGTTCGAACAGAACACCATCACTTCTCTAGGGATGCCCGCCTCGTCGTTCTGACCACGGAAAGTTGCCTTCGGGAAAGTACCGACGTGCCTCTGTAGATTGGCAAAGTAGCGATATCTCCCCTCTTGCTTTAGCTTCTCGATATTGTACTCGAACTTGGCCTCGTACATTTTATCAGCAACTCTCGTTACTAGGGACTTCTTCACAGCGCCGTCGTCAAGGTCGTTGTGAATAAGCACAGGCTTCTCAACAACAGACATGACAGGACAGAAACTGGCAAAGGTCTCAACCGCGGACTTTTCGGGCATGCCTTTGGTCCTAGCGACAAAGGGACATACTTGCTTGACCTCAGATAGATTCACCGGTAGTGGCGACGAACGGGACGCCACTGCAGCTGCCGCCTGACGGACCTCTGCAGAGAAACGACTACAAGCTTGTTGACTGACTGCCGACATGGTAGAAACAGAAGAAAATCTGAAGTGGTCGGCATAGTTTATAACCATGATGATGGTGTCTTCTACGCTATAGCCGTTGATAACAGGACAACGTCAAAAGCGCGCCTCATTAGAGCAACAAACGATATTCGACAAGGGTGTGAGGAATCGAAGCCTTTGAGCGAAAACCCTTGAACCTTCTGAGCTCCAGTTGATACCTTCGTGATAGATTCTTTAACAACGTTTGTGCTTGCACGCAGACGCAGCTTGCGACAAGTGAGGAGACAGAAAATTGTGTCGAACTGCAGCGCGGCACAGCTCAGCAACTCAACTTGCGGTTGCGCAGTGATGCTGAAGTTCCGAATCGCAGTTGCTGAGGGAAGCGAGCGGAGTATATACTATCACTTCGCGCATTCCCGGCGCGTTCATTCGCTTGTTGTTTTTCTGCGTCTACATTAGTTGTACTCCCAAGGTATGTGTGGTTCAGGCATCCTCCAGAATATAAAGATACTCCGATCACCTTCCTTTGTCGTATGGTGACCGTGACTGTTGTGCGCCATGGCTGTAATCAACAGGAAATACTCAGAAAAAAACGTTTTGCGAATCGAATCCGCGACCGTTGCAAACAACCCGAGTTCCGTTCCTTCGTACCGAAAGCCTAGTCATCATGTGTGCAGTCTTGAGTGGGACATCATTCCTGTGTCGACAGTCCCGTACTTGATCAAATACTCAGCGCATAAAAATAGTCGGACCAACCTCATTTCGCTTATCGAAAACATTATGGATGTGCACCACCTCAATCAAGTTCGCGCACGCCCCAGAACACAAACGTTTCAAGTAGAGCTGAGCTGAGATTTTCGATCTTCCTTCGAACAGACTAAAACTATTAACCATCCCGAGTACCGGTAGGCACATCTTGTTACCAATATTGTGGAGGCCAACACCTTCATTCGGAGAGTTCTACTGTTTCCGCGGAGACCATATTCGACTTGTTGGGTAACGGCTATCATTTTCCCCGCTAAGATTTCCATCTAGCGTTAACGACGCTGTGGTATGTAGCTAGACTTTTGGTTGCACTGTAATGTTGTTTAATCATGATATTCGCTAATGATAGTCGCAATTTTGTTAGTTTTTCCATCATGAGTTCTTACTCTGTCGATTGCAATTTTGTTGCTGACCTCAAGAATAGTCAGACCGTTACTCTCTCCAACGACAAGATCAGAGTTACTATTGCCGAGTACGGTCTCTACCTTCTCAGCCTTGAGAGTGCTGATCGTAACGGCAAGTTCTCTGCTGTAAACCTCAACTACGGTGACGAATTGTCCAAGTATGTTGATGACACTTTTTACCTATGTTGTTTAGCAGGCAGGTGAGCGCATTAAAAGCGGTTGGGGGAATTTGTAACACATTTTTTCAGATATGCTAATAGAATTGCCGATGGTCGTATGACGATCGATGGTAAGGAGTATCAGTTGACCGCCAATAACGGTCCTCATTGCCTTCATGGTGGCACCGATGGTTTCAACAAGAAAATTTGGAAACATACGGATTCCTACCGTGATGGTGAGCTCTCTTGGATTTTCTTGGTTTTGTGTTTTTGGAATATACGTTGGAGTATATTCTAATATAGCATTAGGTCGTTATTAGTTGTCATGTTTGTATTCATAAATCATAATTGTTGATGAGTAATGAATGAATCTTTATCTACGATATACTCGATAGCAATATATCCATTAGTATAATCTTTTCTTCGCCTTGCATTCAGAAAAGTCTGCGTCGGCAACCTTTACGGTTCGATCTGAGGACGGCGACCAAGGTTTCCCCGGCAACTTGGATGTCACTGTCGTTTTCACCATCACTGGCAACAAGTTCACTATGGAGTATTATGCCACCACTGACGCTCCCACCGTCGTCAATCTCACTCACCACACCTACTTCAACTTGGACAACGACCATTCGCAGACTATATGCAAGCACGAGTTGTGTTTGCCTAACGCTGAGAAGTTCGTGAAGGTTGAGAACGGCGGCATCCCCATTGAGGGTCCCCCAGCTGATGTCAAAGGTAAACCGGTTCCTCCTTGCTGTCGAACGGTTACTCGTTCATAGTGATATGATTTCATTCTGTTCATGTTGGGTTAGTTTACCCATATCTCTCAGCGTATTTTCTCGTTGGTCGGGA